TTGCCAAGATTTTCATTCAGTGATCCAACGATTTTCATGGTGTGAATTTAAATGGGTAACTGAAGAGAGTTTTTTTGGCATAGGCTTCATTGTAAATTTATGTAGCAGGCTAACTTCATGCATTTTTTTTTTTTGTTGATGCACAGAGAAGCTATTACAGGATTTCTGATTGAAGCTTTAACATCTTTTTCAGACTACCTTTACACTTAGGACAATTCGTATTCCTCAACAACTTTTCTTTATGGTTATAAGTATTTAATGCATTATCATTAAACTGAATGCCAACAGATTTTGCTTTAGGAATTTAAATTCAAATGTACATCAAATGCTCTTTAGAAAACTCCTTTTTGTGTCCAATACATAAAGAAGCATGTATGGATACTAAGTCATAGTTTTCCTTTCTATCAATGCCAGTAATGTTTTAGAGCATGTTCTGGATGCTACAGTTTCCTTTTTTTTGACAGCATAGACGTTTTGTCCAAACTCGACTTTCTACACAACATTTTTGTTTCAAATATTAATTTAACATCATAAAACTGTTTTCTACATCAAGCTTGTCTCCTAATATCTGTTTTCACGCAGAGCAATAAGATGAAGTACTAGGCTAGAGATTTACATTTGCTCTCTGTTCTGATTAGGTATGCAATCATGTGATCGGCTTAAAATTAATTGTTAACTTATTAACTGATGATGTCCACTTTTTTTATTGCTGTAGTGTTGCCACCTTCCAGAAGAGTTTATTATTGTTCATCATGAATGAGACATACCAATACTTAAATCAGAAGAAGTGATGGCAGAGGCATGCTAGAATAGAAACTTGAATTGATCCAAACTAAGTACGGAGTGGGAATATATGACTCTATTTACTAGGGACAAGAATAGAAATGCACTTAACGGAATCTGTTTCTTAGCAGTCAATAAGGTCCCTTAGTTATCAACTAAATACCACCAACATAACCATGCTGCATGTCGGAGCAGCGTTTCTTTTTTGAGCAAAAAATGTACTGATGTGCTAGTAAGGGTGTGATGGCAGAGAAGGTTAGGTCGCTTTGCGAAGCATTTGAAACAAACATTTTCAAAAGACATGACAATAAAGATAGTTGATTTTGAGGGCTTTCAAGAGTCAGTGCACTAATGGAGCCAGGTTTTAACATTCCTCTGTCAGAATCACCCGTTTATAAGCACAACTAACGGCACAATGTTGTTCCCACCACTTATTGTCAGATGACATTAAAAAAGAGACCTATATCACAGTTCTCGCCCACGCAATTGCCACAGATTGGCAAATGGTCTGGGAGTCTTGAGAAAATACAGCTTTCTGTCAGTATATTCCTGTGATTATTTTTTCCCAACTTTAATTGTCATTACACTGTCACAAGTACATGGCAATGAAATTCACTCTCTGCATCTAACCCGTCCTCTTGGGGAGCACTCAGCATCCATTGTGCGGTACCCGGGGAGCAGTTTGGGGTTAAGGGTCTTTTGCTCAGGGACCCAGAGTGACAGTCTGTGGGAGTGGGGCTTAAACTTAGAACCTCAGGATTCTAGGCTCTATGCCCTAACCACTAAACCGCCCATCCCCTTCTTATTATACACCCCCTCCCTTATTTCACACTGTAGCCTTAAAAATAATGTAGCCCTTAATTTTACAGTAAGATCCTCTTAGTAAAAGATAGAGCCTTTTTTTAAAAAGAAAATGTCTGCTTTTCATTTAATCACTAATAGATCGGTAAGATCAGTTAGCTGTAGATTAACTAAGTTGATAACTTGGATCTCTATTTCTGAAATGACTCTGACAATTCCTCCTGGCACATCTCTGTGTGATTCCAGTTACTCCTTTCCAGGAAGATTGCTTGAATTTACCTGCTTGTTCCAGCAGCTTTCCACACTGCCCTCTCTTTTATGTTCACAGTTGTTTGAACTTAGCACAAATAGTAGGTCACATTGCCAAAATAGACCGTTAACTTTAGATGTAAAAAAATCTCTATTTTCAATAATTAATGTGTAAACATTAAACATCTATGTGCTGTTTTTGTTCCTTAAAAAGCAAAAATAGACTTTTTAATTGGGTCTACATTTTCTTTGTGTTCAGAACAAAATAGTATTGTGAAAAGAAACTGCAACTAGCCAACTTTTATTTTATTTTAGCTAGACCTGACAGCAGCCAATCAGAATGGCTAAATGTTTCAATTTAAGCTTTAATAATCACAAATGGCAGCAAATCAGAAACGGCTAGCAAAATATTCACATACTGATGACAGTTATCAATTATAAAAAGTTTTAGTTGTAGTCAACTCCTGTTGACTGTTCCCAAACACAGCATGCCAAGGAACCGGCCCACTTTAGAGCAGTCCTACAACACGGACAGCTGCCATTTCCAGAAGTTCTCTGATGACTCGGCCATTGTAGGCTGTGTTTCTGAATAGAACGAGCTAGAGTATCGATTGGTCATCATAAACTTTGTGGACTGGTGTGAGAAGAGCCATCTGTGTCTGAACACCAGTAAGACCAAAGAGATGGTGATCGACTTCAGGAGAAGACTCCTACCTTACTCTCCTGTGAACATCCAGGGGCAGGTCATAAAAACTGTGGGGAATTTCAAATACCTAGTAGTTCACGTCAATAATAAACTGGAGTGGACTCATAACACCAACACCCTGTATAAGAAGGGAAAGAGCCACCTCCACCTCCTGAGGAGGCCTTTGGAGTGAGCAGGCCCCTCCTTAAAACCTTCCTGACTCTGGTGGCATCAGTCCTCGTCTAAACTATTGTCTGCTGGGCCCCTGGCAGTGCAGAACGAGACAGAAAAAGGATGAACAAACCGATGAGAAAGTTTACAAGTCCAAGTTTACATCCACCATGGACAACAGCTTCCACCCTCTTAACCAGACTGTAGAGGAGCTGAGTAGCACCTTTTGTGAAAAACTTTCACACTATCTATAAAAATGAGTGCTACTGCAGGTCAGTCATCCCTGATGCAACCAGACTCTACGATGCTACACTATAACGGCAATAACTTGTGCAATGTATAATGTGCAATTACTGTTTAATACCCTTTGCAATAAGCTGTTTCTCTATATTTGACACCCAGTGCAGTAATTATATATATAAATATTGATATCCATCTACTGAGTTGAGTTCTACGTTATCAATCTGGGATGGCTGCCGTTCAGTCTGTCACTAAAAAGGAGGGACTTTTAGTACAATGCTTCAAGCTGATTGGGTGAAGTGCCAGATAGTACCCGCCTTACATAATAAGCATTCAGCCAATCCTAGCAGCGAATCATTGTCATCCAGCTTCATAACACAAATACCCACCTTAATAGCTTCAGCAACTTGTCGTCCACTTGTCGTCCATGAGAGCCACACACAGAGACACAATGATCTTAATAGGATTTGTCTGCAGCTTCTTGAGTGTTTTCACTAGTGGAGTAAGCTGATAAATCAAACTTTTAGCTTTCTTCAACTTCAGCAATCACTGCTCCGCTCTCTCCATGCATTGCCACTGTTTTAACACCTCAGCTTTATTTAGTGGCACAAGGTGAGAGCAGAGCAGTGAGCATCCTCACCAAGTGGGATTCACCACTGGCTGCTTCCCCACCCTTCCCCACACAGTTTGCATGCGATCCCACCCAAGTCCACCACCCTCTGCGGTGGATTTGATGGCCAAAATATGACCAAATAAGTCATTTTAAATTGAGTCCCCTCAGATCTGCTGGCTACTAGCTCCCTTGTTTCACCAGATATAGCTTACAAAACTAGGTGTCCCTTACCTTAACTATTCCCTCAAAACTGTCATAGAAGGTTTAGTGTCAGTTATCTAAAAGGCTATCAATTTCTTTTTTGGGGGGGAAATCATTGAATATGTTATTACCAAATCATGTTTTTCTTAGCTCAGTAGATTTGCATTTTGAATTGACTTGAACGCATCCTGATTGCTCTAAATTAGTAAAAAGCTAATTTGACCTCATTGCAAACGCTTCAAGATATAGTTTGGTTCCCAATAAAATCCATGACAAACTGTGATAACGTTGCATTGTTCTTTTGATTATGGTTTGAACCATTTTCAAAAAAACAATTACTCTGTTTTTCAATAAAGAATTTAAAGAGCATTTTTTGTGTGTTTCCCTAAAAACACTTTTTACAGCCAAATAAAGGAGGCTGAAGGTGTAATGTAAAGTGTACAGATGTTTTTAAATGTTCTTTGAGGCTAATATGATTCAGTATCTACACACCAGATCTATTTTTTCTTTGTCTTTTGCTTTCCTTTTAATTGTTTTTTTCATAAATGGGTTAAAGTTGTTTTTAATATAGTTTTATCATAAGTTGTGTAATTATTTCCCTTTGTTTAGACCAAGATACTCATTAAATGATGAGACCCACAGTAATGGCAGCATATGGTAGATGAAATAAAATCCTTTCTTGCCACAAAAGGAAATGTTCATATTAGATTTTTTTCTCCTCCTCCCCTCTGATTCTCCATCTGGGAGCCCTTTGCAATTTAATCATCACTAAAATCATTAAAAATATCTGAAGATTAAATTATATTGGCATTTGCAAAATTATGTAATGCATTTACATTACAATGAAGAAATTAAAATAATGCATTTTCTCTGTCTGGGGTGTATGAAATCTCCACATGGGAAATATAACTGAAGAAGTGGACAGACTCTTATTTTATTTGCCTTTGGTGGCAGTTAATAGGCTAGCAGAGGTTCAGGTTTCATTGTATGAACCTTCCTGCACTTCCTTTGATGGATGTCCCTCAAAGTCTCAGTGGTATTTATGAATTATAGAATGGAAATGCATTTTTGAGAAGTGTGCAAGTGAAATTGAATGAAATTTGTAAATTGTACTTAAAAGATGTGTTGGAAGCTTGGCAGTTGGAAGCTTGGGAAGTATTTAAAGTTTTATTATTATAGGAAATGAGTCGTTTAGTTTTTTCATCTTTGACACTGAGCATCTTTTTAATATCTAAAGGAGTTTTGTGTTCATTTCAGGACTTACTGATGAAGAGGTCGAGTTGGCCATCCAACGCTCTGGCAGCACAGAGCAAGTCCTGCCTCTAAGCCCTGTGGGGCTCCAACAACCACCTTATGCATCTCAGCTGACTCCAGCACCACCCAGTAAGTACATCCTGTACGTCATTTTCTTCCATTTGCAGCCTAGGCTCAACAATGATTTAGAAGAAGCCTAAGTCCTTCCATCCATCCATCCGTCCATCCTTCACGCTTATCTCAAGCATGGTCACCAGGGAAGCTGGTGCCTATCTCCAGCTGTCTACGGGCGAGAGGCAGGGTACACCCTGGACAGGTCGCCAGGTCATCGCAGGGCAACACAGAGACAAATAGGACAAACCACCATTTACGCACACATTCACACCTAAGAAGAATTTAGAAAAGCCAGTTGACTTGACAGTCATGAAACCAGAGTAACCGCTCAGGGAGAACATGCAACATCCCCGGGAATCGAACCCGGAACCTTCTAGCTGCAAGGCAGTACTGAGCAGCCAAAAGTTAGTCTAAGTCATAAATTCAAAAAAAGTTAAAAGCAAACCACTGGACTTTGTTTTTCAAGTGTTAAGATGTTTCGCTTCCCATCCAGAAATCTTTCTTAATTCAAAATGTCTGAAGTACCATTGAGTTCCAGGCTTAAATAGAGTTGGCCAACAGAAGCCTTGCTATGGCTTAGAAAACATGCAAATTGAACCAAAAACAGGTCCACCCCTTTGTTATATCGTTGATGTCATTGTTGGCCTACCTTAACAGGTGCGGTACTCGAGCTTCCTTCCAGTACAAATACATGGCGGCGAAGTTAATTGGCTTAGGTGTGACAGAATTTATCTGCACAGCCAAGGGCTGGAGGCCGTCTAGTTTGGTGACCAGCGGATTTCGTCCCTGGTTTTCGGAGATGACATGATTTCGCTAGCTCCTTCCTGCCAAGGCCTACAACGTGTGCTGAAACGGCAGTCAAGTTTGAAACAGCTGGTATGAGAATCAACTCTCCAAGTCCGAGGCCATGGTTCTCAAGTTGAAAATGGTGGCTTGTTCCCTTCAGGTTGGAAGAGAGTTCCTGCTTCAAGTGGAGGACTTCAAGTATCTTGGGGTCCTCTTCACGAGTAAGAGGAGAATAGAGCTGGAGATCGATAGACAGATCGGTGCAGCTGTAATGTAGACACTGCACCGGCCTTTTGTGGTAAAGAGAGAGCTGTTTGAAAATGCAAAGTTCTCGATTTACCGTTCAGTCTATCTTCCTACCATCACACATCGTCATGAAATCTAAATCATAACTGAAAGAACAAGATCCTGGATACGAGCGGGTGAAATTAGTTTTCTTTCTGGCTGGGCACTTCCTTAGGGATAGGGAATAGGGTAAGTAGCTTGATCACCTGCAAGAGGTTCTGAAAAAAGCTGCTTCTCCTCCACATCGAGAGGAGTCAGATAATGTGGCTTGGACATCTTTTTTAGGTGTCCCCAGAACGACTCCCTTGGAAAAGGGGAAGACTCGGAACACTGTCAAGAGTCTATGGCCCCTTTTTCTATATAATTTGACAAAGATAAATTTTTATTTGTAGTGGTAAACAAGCACAATGATTTCCAAGTAGCTCTTGGCTCATACTGTAGCATTCAGTAGTAGTTCAAACGACTTATGAAGCCTTTTAAACACTGAGTTTTAAATCAGTTTTCATGGGAATTTTGAGCATCTTTAAAAAAAAAATGCTAATTAGAAGTGTTTCTATCTGGTTTCTGAAAAGGTGATACAAATGATAAACTATAATTATGAGTGGGTGTGATAAACAGGAAGTGTCATGCTCAGAACTGAAGGATCCAGTATACAAGGCGGACAAACAGAATTCTCATAATGTTTATTGACAACAGAATCGGAGTAGGCGGTGTCGGCATCTGAGACAGGAACATCTAAAGTAAAGGATCACAAACGTGTGAGTCACTAACTTGGTCTTATAGGTCAGTCCAATTCCAGAAATAGAGGATGGTTCCAGCTGGCTGGCTGCCAACGCGTCGCGGCAGTCGCCACACAGAGTTCCTGATGTATCTGTGGTCGAGGACAGACAGGAGATCAGAACAGAGCAGACAAATGTAGGCAGGGTGAACCAAAGGGCAAAGCCAAAACCGATATCAGTGACGTGGTCAGTTGTCACAGCCAGGATGTCAGAGATCCAGTGAGGTGCTGAAGGGGAATCCAGGACTGAGTCGGGTTATAGGCTGGAAGAGAGCAGGCAGACTCAGTGGTCGGGAAATGCTTCAGGTCGGTACACACGCAGTCAGAGATCAGACAGGAGTCAGAAGACAAGTCAGGCAAACAGATCAGATGGGAATGGACAGGCTCAGAAGTTAAGAGGTAGAACAGGTCAGGCTCAGGTAGTCAGAACACAAGAACGCTAGAATAAGTCTTACCAACAGCTGGAAATAGTCTGGTACTAATGACTGGTCTGAGGGCTGGTTAAATAGTGACTAATGCAGTTGGATCCGATGATTGGGTAATGGGAACTGGGAAGGGCTAAGAACGTGTGTGAAATGAGTAATCAGACCATGCAAAAGTGCTGAGATCATGACAGAAGTAGAGGTAGCAAACTAGCGTGGACCACAGATCAGTAATGAAAGGTTTTAATGAATATGTTGCAATCGGGCAAGTTGTACCTACTTTGTCATCTAGTATTAGCAATGATCCATGCCATCTAGAAACATCAACAAAGAAATGCAATTCTAATGCTTACATAATCATGAGGATGCTGACATCCTTACGCATAAACATAGCATTAGGATGCCGTGCTTATGCATTACGATGCTTACATAAGCAGTAGGAAATCAGCTATGGAAACCACTAATCGGTCATCTTAGGTAAATGTAAACAACGTCCAAACTTACTTTACAACTGTGTTTCAATCCCTTCTTTAGAACGTTTACTCTTTTCACGAAAAAGTTAAAAACTATTTCAGGTGAGTGTTAAGTTTCTTGCAAAATTTAGACTGTTAACCATTCTAGGGTTCCTGTGAAATGGCTCTTACCAGTGCAAATTCCCCGGCATGTGTCTCATATAGTCAATCGGTTACTGATTAACTCCCAAAGACACCTTTAGGAACAAAATAATTCTATTAAATTATCCATAAATGTGAGATGTTGCAGCCAGGCCTATACTCAAACTGTGTGGTATAGCTGAGATCTATTGGTTTTGTGCATGCGCCTGGTTTTATATATTGCTTATAAATTCGTTCAAGGTTCTCTTTGCCTTAATGTTGACTGATAAGGAAACAAAACCTCACCAAATTCTAACACAGTTAACATCACAATCTCTGCCATTACAGCTATCTTGTGTTGTCATAGACAACACAAGATAAGTTCACCTTGTCATAAGCTCACCTAAGGTTACATTTTTTTGTGTTCTTACAGCTTGCATCTTGCCATCTGTAAAAACCTCATTCTAGCCTTGCTAGTCAGTACTATGCAAACTGTACCTTTAAAAAAATCTATTTTACTCATTCTTGCTAAAGATTTGAGTGCCCTTTCACACTACAATATTCCAGGGCAGAGGATGCCAAAACAATTTCACACCATTTGGTTTGGATTACCTTCATGCTACACTTTTGACAGGGACTAAACCTCTTGGACAATGCCATACCGTTACGACAGCTGCCCTTCTTGGCTGTTATCAGAAGGAGCTGCCCAGTATAAGCAGCAAAAAAAAAAAAAAGTAGACTGACCTATGGACCTACAATCTCTAAAGTGTGTTTCTCCTTGTGAGAACAAATTTCCCTCTATCCACTATCTTCATTTCTGGTAAAGTTTAGATTTCTTTATTTTTTTCATAATTAGAGAGGTTTATATTTCATTTCATATCAAAAACAAATTTCTAGGTAAAAACAAACAAAAAAGAAAACAAAAGAGCCTACCAGGGGTATGAATAATTATGGCCTTACCAATTTATACACATACATACAATTTATACACATACAATTTCCCGAAGGGAGTAATCCCAAGGGATTAATAAAGTCAAGTCTAAGTCTAAGTCTAAATCATTAGTACTTTTACATTACTAATTCTGCTTAGTTCACCTAATGGTCTATTTTATGATATTTTTCAGCATGTAAGGTGCACCCAGATTCCCCTCCAAGTGAAGAGCACACCATATTTTCCAATGGACCCCATTTTTTTCTATGCACCACGGTTCAGGTTACTTTCTCCTCCTGGCCAGATAAAGCATATAATCACAGTAAACCTGATTACATCAAACCAAACAGCTCTATCAACCTGTAAAAATGCTGGCCATTTAAAATTTGATTTACCAAACTAAAAGGTTTTAAAACTCTTTCACGGTCCAATTTGGTACATTGATATATAAGTGACATTCTCTTTTTATTAAAAGCATCTGGTTTGTCCTGTTGCAGAACTTGTTAGTTTGTCTTTTGTGCATTGTTTATTAGAGCCCTTCTGTTCCTTCTGTATATAATATTAAAAAAAATAATAATCTTCAATACAAGCCTTAAAGTCATGCAGCTCCTTATTTCACCTTAATTTCAGGTTTAGACAGTGAGAACATAACAGCTCACATACAAAGTTTGTGACGTCTGACGCCGTTGCATTTCTGGCAACGTTCAACCCTGGCGAAACCCCTCACCACAACCTGTATCTTTATTACCCCAAGAGGTTGTGAATCCTCTGTCCACAGATTTGCCAATGCAGAATGAAGTCCGCGTTATGCTTAACCCATATGACAATGATTCCAGATGTATTCCACCCTCATTTATCACCACACTGTCCTTGACTCCCCGGCATCTCATGTTTTGTAATGAAAGTGATGTTGATGGGATGGCCATGTAGTTAGGGAGACTCGCAGCTCTCCGTCCATAGTCGGGGGTTTTATATCAAAACGGCTATGAGGGAGCTGCATAATGAGGTGAGAGCTGGTCGTCTTGTATGGGGGGTCATGCTGAAAAAAGGGGGCTACCTTCCTCTGATGTCCTTCTTATGGGGACGGTGCACAGGGACCCGCATCCATCTCTGTCGCAGTAATGGATACTCTGATCTCTATTTCCACACGGTAGAAGGACAGGAAGGCCTCCACTGAACCCAATAAATTTGAGAGGAGATTGGAAAAACGGGGGATGGAGTCCACAGTTCCACAGCTTAAGTGACCAAATAAAAAGAGGAAGATGGTTGTGTGGAAGTGGGAAATAAAAGAAGAAAGACAAAGGAAGAATGAAAAGCCCTAAAGTTGAGGGGTAAGAGCAATGGGTGAGCCCTGGTGATGCATTCAGGTATCATCAGGGTCAACCACCCATCCCAAGGACTTTAAGGCCTTTCATATGCCTGGGATTCTGGGACAGCTGACAGTTTATCCCAGCTTTAATGTTGATGAAGACCCAAATTTATACGGTTATCATATGGATGTTGGAGAATGATTTAGAATTTTTTTCGAATAGGAAAGGTTAGAGGTTCATAGCAGCAGTGAATCTGCCCTTGAGTAAGGAAAATAAAATGACATTCTCCCTGGTAATGTACCTTACATTTCGGTCTGAGTGGGGCTCCTGTTTTATTTGCATGTAAAATCACAAGTGCTAAAGCAAAAGATCAATATAGTTTACTCACTTCAGGCCAGTAAACATGCAGCACATTATCCATTAGGTGAAATCAGACTTGTTACAGAATATCAATGCTGTGCATGTTTAGCTTGAAATCATTTGTATTCATTTTCACCTTTCTGGTGTAAATAAATGAAGAATTTGCATACTTCCTTCAGACAGGTTGTTTAGTGACATTTTCAGTTGAATGCCTCTCTTAAGTGGGGAATTTCCACTTTGACAGGCAGTTGGCCTACCCAGATGACAGCTTGCACAATGGCACACTTTCATATCATCTGTCACTCAGCTTCAAAATGCATAGAAACAAACACTCTTATGTTTCCGTTAATCTTAAGTGCTTTCCTTGCAATTTCTGTTCATATTAATAAAAAAAGTAACATTTTAATGTTTCATTCTAATTACAAGTTTGTCGTCGCCAAATGTTTCTTCTAAATTTACTTTAAATCCTTTTTCTTTAACTCATAGCTGCAGTTCGCATAGCTCTTCCAGTCAGCCTATCATATTTTTTAATTATGATTCTTAAACATTGTCATTTAACATTGTAATTGACTACTAACAGGTTTATGTACAATCCACTTCTTTAGCTCAAAATACCATGAAATAAATGTGATTTGTTGTAAAATGTAATCATTGAATCTGTGTGTTTACTATGATGATAAAGGCCCCTTATTTCTTGCATAAAAAACTGATTTTAAGTCAAATTAAATTTTAGAACTGAAGTTAAAAGTTGACAAACTAACCTATAAATAAAAAATAAGATATTTTTAAAGAAATTCATTCAATTTCACACCACTAAATTCTGTTAATTTTTCAAACCATGCATTTATTTTTTGAATAGCCTGAATTCAGGGTAAGTCTGAGCAATTAAATATTGGTTTCTAATGGCACAAGTTCCTGCCCTTATGTTGTTGCCAAATTCTTCCACTTGAGCTCTGGATATCTGCAGCTTCCCAAGAGGTGCTTACATTTATGTCTGACTAATGTACTTCTTGTCCTATGATAGTTGGACTACTTTATGTCATAGCAGTTTTGTAGTTGTGCCATTCAGTTTATTTTTTTCTTCAAATATTAGATGACACAGTGCTCTGTAAAATGTTAGTATTGTTTCATAAGCCAGGGCTTGATGTTAACCATCGCCCGATCTCCCGGGGCAAGTAGTTTTTATTGTTGGGAGAGTACAAAATTTCATTTCATTGCATTTGCCCGCCGGGGAAGTGCAATGATTGCCAAAAAAAATTATTTATCACTCAATAATTACTTTAAAATCACCGACATTCGATGAAAACGACCCAGAAGCGTTGCCAGCGCCATTTTGGTTGTTTTGTACACATTCTCGCGTGATTTGAAAAAGGCACGTGATTTGAAAAAGCTGGGTGATTTGCCGCAAGATGGCAAGATTTTTGTCCACCTATATTAATAGTATTATCTTGTATAAACATACCGTGACTCTAAAATAAAAGTTATTCATTTGTGACATTGACTTCTGTCTTGTGATTTATCTTAAGTTTTTAACCTGTCAAGATTTTTTTTTATTTTTAACATTACAATTTATATTTTTCCAAGCACACAACAGTTTAAGGCAAAGTTTAGTTTGAAAAGAATGTGCAGGAAGGATTGAAAAGCATGTTAACACGGTAATGTAGGCTTGAGTTCATTTTCTGATGCATGCATATACACACCAGGAACCTGTAAACTTAAAAAATACTAAATTACAAAAAACATTTTAAAAACAAACATGTTCATTAATATATATACAAAAATGATTATTAGGAACTCTATTTATCAAAAATTATACTGGGCAAGTAAAAATAGTTTCTGGGCTAATGAAATGTGAAAGTCACTTGCCCTTTGGGCAAGTGGTAAAAATCCTTAACGTCAACCCCTGTAAGCCAATCATACTTCAACCTTCTCATCAACTTTCTCCCTGATCCTGTCTGCTGTTCTCATTGGTCTTCATAATGCTATTTATTCATTTATGTTTTCTTGAAAACCTCTGAGGCCTTCAGATAACAGCAGGATTTATACTGTGGTAAATTACACATGTGAATTTATTTACTATATTTTTAAAACATTTTGAAAACTTGGTAGCCCTGTAGACTAGTTTGTGCTCATAATTTGACAAAAATGTATACATTTAATTTAACAAGTGAGAGTATTGCCTTTCCTGGTACTTGCTTGTAAAATATTGATGTTATTTTTAGCATTCTTTCTTATTATTCTATACCTTAGGGATAATGTAGTTTCTATAGATCAGTGTTTAATCATCTTTTCTGACTTATTCCAGCAGGCTACAGATGGAGAGACTACGGCGCGCTCACCATCATTATGGTTGGCATCGCATTTGGCTTTCATCAGCTTTACAAGGCAAGTCCCACCACAGTATGGTGACCATTTCTTCCCTGAATTTCAGATTACAGTAAATGCATGATAAAAGTACTTGCAGTCTCCACACTAGATGTATCCTTTGTTGCATCGAAATATGCAGCATCAGTCTATGACAAATTATGGTGCTTGAGCTAAAGGCTCCACTGCAACATGAAGCATCATTCAGATCTTGTTTTTGAATTAACATGCATAATGATCTCATTCTGACCTCTGTTTATGTATTTTATAGCATATATATTTTTCCCTCTAATAATAAATTCTCCAGCACAGCATAGAACTTGTTTTTGGACACATTACAGACTAAAATAACCCCCCTGTTTTTTATTGGGCTTGAACATGAGCTCATGAGGTCCCTTGTCCACAGTGACACTAATCCCACAGCGCTTGGTGGTTGCGCTCTAAGCGACATGTGGAAATGATTACTCCATTTTTAAAAGAAAGCAGGAGCTCTAGCAATAGTTTTTAACCTAGATGACGGGCCCCTTTACTTTGTGTGTATTGGAGAGATAAGCAGAGGACAGCAGAGGTGTCTGTAGATGTTATTTATTCTCCCTGCAGAGCAATTCATAAGGGATCTTGAGCATATTCCTGGTCTTCTCTCTCATCAGATAAAAACACACTATCAGGCCACAGTTTCCTACATAGGGAAACGCTTCTCTTGTTTGGAAGGTGGGAATCCCTGGTGGGATGGCACAGGTTGCTGTCATGTCACCAAAGTGTAGTGCCAGTCGCACCATATGTCCAAATTTTTACCCAGACTTTATTTATGTTATGCTGCATCTTGTAAACACCGTGCTCACAGCATCCCACTCATTAATTACAACACGTTAACACCTTTTTAGTCTTTTTTTCCTATAAAGTGTTTATTACTTGTACCAGTGTGGCACCTTGAACTGCAGAGAAAACCTAACAGGGAGTATAAAACAGGCGGTTATTCTTCCTCCTCCACAAAGTGTCTGCAGTGCTTTACAAAAAGTATTCATACTTCAAAGTTTGCAAAATATGTTTTATAAAATTTTTAGTCTTGAATGTATTTAATAGAAATTGTATGTTATAGATCAACACAAAGTAGTACATACTTTTAAATTGGAAGGAAAATTGATGCATGTCTCTTAAACATTTTTATAACCACAAATCTGAAAATTTTACTGATTTGCAATCGCTTCCTTAACCCTAATGCTTCAAAGTCAGATCCTATTGAAGAGAGCAAGAAACGCTTTATTTGAAGTGTAGCCAGAAGGACAAGAGTAACTCTTATAAAGGAAAGGGATATAGAAAGAAAGCTATGATAAGCAGTGATTGCTGTTTGCTACAACTTATGTAGGGCACTCAATACTCGTAGAAAATCCTCTTAACAGATGGGATCGAAATTCAACTTTTTGTCCTACTTGCAAAATACTACATTAAGTTTTAAAAATAAAAAATAAAAACCCTATGTGCTTCTCTCAAAACACAATTTTCATAGTAAAAATGTATTATAGCAGCATCATGCTGTAGGGAGACTTCTCTTCAGCAGGGCTGCTGTTAAGAGATGATAGGAAGATGATCTTACTGAGCTAGACCTATTTCGAAATGATAAAGGGGAGGAAACTTCAATCTGGAAAGCTGGTGGTGGTGTACAAATAAAAGATTTGCAGCTTCAATCACGATGGAAGAAGGATCTGTATGATATTGACTCAAAAAACTCAATGAAAAGGCACCACTTTTATTATTTTTTTGCATAACTCTTATTTAATTTTATAATTCATGTCAATTTTTTTTGTTTTAATTTGTTTTGGCCAATTACATGTTAAATTACCACTTATTATCACTCTATAGTATACACCTTCAGAAACGGACACTTTCACAGGAGGAATAGAAAGAGTTAGAGGCAGACATTTTCCTTACAATGATTAACAAATGCCCTGTTGTTCCTGTTTGACTTTGATCTTTTTTGTGCTCTTTGCTGCAGATAAATTAGAAAAATCCTGATACTCTTTGTGATTTTTTTTTTAATGTTCATCAATGTGTTTGTTGAATATCCTAACACTTTATCTAGACGTTCAATAATATATGCTCATACACCATTTATAACCATTTTCTTATTTATTCATCTGCTTAACAAATTACTTAAATGAGTAATCATCTACTAAGGTTTCTGATTGATTCTCTCACTTACTAATGGTTGGAACAATAAATGTATGTTACAGCCTTCATTAACAACTATTAACAGCGGTTCTGACTATTTGCTGTTGAATTACACAAAGTTACGATGAAGTGTTGTCAGCCAGTCTCGTGGCCAATCAGTAAAAAGCCTTCTTTGACCTAGCATATGGAGGTAGCCTTGTCTTTTTCCTCATCTTCCCTCTGCTTTGCACTGGAGAGAAGTGTAATCTTGTGCCATGCTTTTAATTGCAGAAATACATCCTTCCCCTCATTATGGGGAGCCAAGAGGACAAGAAGCATCTGCAGAGGATGGAAGGCAACATTGCAGCAATGAGTGGCACGCTGACACAGACAGGTGAAGATTAATATCTTCATCACTTTCTCCCTCCTTAACATTTTCCCTCATTTATCTGTCGCCAAAATCGGGGGGCCCCGCACATTTTTAACAAATGACGCCGCTGTCATTTCTCTTTAATTTGAAATTGCTTGTTTACTGTCAGGCTCAGGCTCAATTAATTACGTTTCGCTGAAAAGCTCTTAACCTCGGAATATTAATGAGGAGTTGGGAAATGACAACTTTTCTCAACCCCACACACACACCCAACCCTCTTCAATTCACCCCTCTATGCACCAACCTCACCACCATCCGAAACCTCCTTTGCCATCATTGTCAGCCACCCTCTCCTCTGTAGGTGGGCAGAAAGTTCATTTTAATTTTGTGTGTGTGTGCGTGTTTTTTTTTTCTTTCTTTTTTTGGGAGGGGGATTTATGTGTGTAGCTCGGCGCTGTGGTAACTTGGCTCAGCGTTGGCCTCAGTGTAACTTAGTGTGCGGTGACAGGTGCGGCTCCCATGTTGGACAGGTGAGGAATCTCAACCTGGCTGTCAGACAGCGGTAGAGAGAGATGAGGGGAGAGAGCTGCTTTTCCAGCTCTTTGTCAGTATAATTAAAAATCCAGGGAGGCGTAAATGAGAGATGCACTCTGAGAAACTCTGGTCTTGTTAGCAGTAGTGTTACACTGAAGTGTGTTTTCACCTGATTCGTACTAGTCCCGGTTTCATTTTGAGTGGGTTAGCAGCTAAACCTTCTCAGGCACGCAATGATGTTTTTTTTGTGTTAATTTTCATGCGATATCATGTTGCATTTATGCAAAAGCTTTAAAGATAGTCAAAGCATGTTTAAGTCCAATGTCGTGACACCATTAGAATGATTTCCCTTGTAGACATGCCTCATTGCACAAACCAAAACTTCACAGTACCTTGGTGTTTTAGCAATTGTAGTTTTTTTTTTTTAGAAGTATCAGAATAATTTGTGGGCCATTATTGTGAGCACAAAGAGTTTGACTTTGCAGTCATGCTCTTACAGTGTTTAGTCATTAGGGATGAATGCATAAAACAAGGGAAAATTGTAACTTATATAAATCTAAATTGACATTTGAGCAGAAATGTGTTTAATAACACAACAATTAAAACTAATCAAAATGGTCGCAAGAAAACTGGGAAACAAAATAGGAGGAAATAACTGGTTTTAGATATTTTCAAAGTGCCAACAGCCTCAGGATAGGATGCAAACAACATTTCCATCTCTTGGTTTAAATAAAAGGCAAATACATTAATAGTTTAAGTCACTTAAGTTTAAGTCAATAATCTTTTAGAAAGATAAAAATGATCAATGCCATTTAACTTTTAGAAGCTGATGGGTTTCTGTTGGGTTTTTAAAAAATGAAAAACTTCCCACAGTTGAAAATATGGCTGTTATCATTTTATTCAGTCACACCAGGGCTGTCGTGTCCCGACTGTTCTAGAAAAACAGAGGGCCAGGAGTTGTGTGAGATGGCGTGCAAGGTGTGTCGCCCTAAATCTGATTAACAAATACACGCTGTTTTATGGTCATTTTCTCCCAACTATGCAAACACATTTCCCCGGGTTATTTCACTGCCCATTCTTGCTGCTACTTATCATGTTTTGGAGATTTGCCAGTGTGCAACACCCTGTTTAGTTTGTCAGTGCGGACAGGATTACAGGGGAAAAAAAAGAATGCTCTCATGTTTTGTCAGAGGGAAAGTGAGACTCCAATAGAAGGAAAAAAAAAAAAGACATTGGTCTTTTCTTCAGCCAGCGTGTAGAACTAATTTGCTATGACTGCAGTAGCCAAGCTGCTATCGTAGTTAATGACTGTTGTAGTTAACAGTTGGGGAGAGGGGTTGCAATTACACTGAGAGTTTTCTCCCCCCAGCTTCCCCTTTGTCTTCCTCTCCCTCTTGCTTTCTCTCTCATCGCTGCACTGAGTAATAGCGAACGACTGCCTTGCTGCTGCCAATTGCTTGAACCCCCTTTTGTTAAAGTTCATGTATTTCTCTAGTGCCAGGCGCAATGAGGTGATGTATCCTTTTGAATGGGGACCACATTAGTCTTTCTCACCAACCCCAGCTAAGAGTAAAAGGCCTTGACTCCCATTATGATTTCCCTACAACTTCACACGGACAATTAATGAAAGGATCTTGAAGCTACTTCAGCACAGCTAGGCTGTAATGGAATTGCAAGGCTGATGGGGCACTCTTTGTTGGTGGGAGCCATATTGGTGACCAGCTGGCCATTAAGGACAGACACAGGGCTGGACATATGTAGTGTACATTGTAGCGAGGTATTTACTGAATAATTTACTGAATACACAATGCACAGCCTCCTCGCAGCAGCTGCAAGCCCTGCACATTCTCTCACATGCACATGTGCAGTCGCACGTTGTGGGTACTATCTTCTTCTGATTCATGCCTAGCCAAAGAGTTTGACTTTATTAATATTCTTGGCTTCATTTCAGTGGTATCATGGAGGAAGAATTTGAGCCTTTTTGCTGAGCAGCTTGAGCACAAAGAAGCTAACTATGACACTTAGAGATGCAAAGGTTTGCACTGTGAACTGTTTGACCGAAATTAGTGCAAAGTCAAACTAGGTTATTCTCATTTTATGGTAAAATAATTTGCATATAACAAAATTTGCAATGTTTCTATTAGATTGTTAAACTTATCAGTTAAAAATAACACATCAGAAGACATTTAGGATATTTAGGGGAAATCTTTGTACAAACATAGATTACAGCATTTCATACCCTGTATCATACATTTCAGTTAAAGCAGAAAATCATAAATCATTATCAGGCCTTATTTATAAAATGATGTGATGGTCAGACACCAATGATTATTTGGATTAAATGACTAATCATTCAGTATTTTTTACAAACAGTTAAAGCTGAAGTCTGTAAGTTTTTAAAAATCACTTTTTTGTCACATTGGCTAAAACTGTCCCTATGCCCAGACAGCAGTACATGTGATATGTAACCTGTGAAAAAAACTGCTTCAATTGGTACCGCCTACTGCCTGTATTTCAATCTGGAAAGAATAATTCGGGACGAGTCAAAACAACCAATCACAGCCAGAGGAGCGTCTGATGGAGTGTCAATCACAGCTCACACACGCTGAATCCCGCCCCCCCCTTCTGGTCGCATGCGGTAGCTGCGCAGATGCTGTGAGAGGGATGGAGCTTGGAGGTAGGGCATGAGTGAAGCAGAGAGGGTGGGGGAGTGGCGTGAAACCTGTTTTTCTTAAAATTTTCAGTCGAAGTCTGCTCTCTCCTCAATGTTACAGACTGCAGCTTTAATTAATAAATGGTTATTTTGTCCTTGCACACACCCTCTGTTACTTTACGTTTTCAGGCTTGACTTGTTCACTGCAAAATCTTGATTTTAATTTAGAAAAAGGAAATTACAAAATACTTTTTAATGTGTGATTATATGTAATTTAAAATGTAAAATATGAAAGAAGAGTCAAACCTGAATAAAAACAATTGATTTGCGGGCTGTATTTGCTATATAAACCATCAAACATAGAACCTGAAACAATGGTGACACCCAAGACTTTTGTTAATAACTTAATAAACAGTGTAAAATGTTTTTTGTCAGTCATTAAAATACTACTTTATTTCATATCCCTTAGCTGTTCCTCTGTTGTTTCCCCCCTTAGTTTTAGGACTTTTCAGAATAAAAGTACCTACAGCTAAAGTCCATTCATCTGTTCTGTCTCACACCAATTCAAGTTGGAATGACAAATGGGTGTTATGAATAAAATGATGCTACACATTTCATTCATGTAACTCATAAAATTTCCCTTTCCAGGTTAACATATGTTTCAGCGATGTTTGCTTGTTTGATGCTTATTGCAGCAGTGTTACTATCTAAGCGGAGCTCTGCTTAGCGCAGCATCCAGTATAGATGATGCTATGCCTACAAGTTCTGTAGAGCATGGCACATTTACATGGTTCTACTTGTAAGATTTATCATAGACATTTTTCACAGGAGATGTTGTCAGTGTTGACAGTTAATCGTTACAGCCCCCCAGGAACCTACACTTCCAAGGAAAGAGACATAATAAGGAGGCTGATCAACTAATCAGAGGCAGACTCGGGGAAATGGGAGCATTATATTACATTATGAAACCAATGAAAAATGGTTTCTTACAGTTTCTTTTCTCAGACACTTTCTCCAGGCTTAGAAACACCATCTTGAGTTTCAAATAATTTAACGCCCCATCTTTTTAGACACTAGGATGTGTGAGTGGGGATGTTTTGAAGCTACAGTTTTTCTAAAGACATGTAGACATTACATTTATCTAGGATAGACTTATGTTTAGCATGTTTTACCACCAATGATAAATATCTAGAATTATAACTACATAAGTATTATTTCAAAACTATGTGATGCTATAAAGACAAATTGAAAGCAAAGGAACTTTGACAGTTATTAAGACTAGCCTTTTCAGCATAATTATTTTCAGTTTTAATTCAGTTTACTTATATAGCACCAATTCACAACACATGTCATCTCAAGGCATTTTACAGAGACAATTCAATCAGATCATATAGTCAAATTGATTAAAAGTTTTCTATCTAAGAAAAAACAGTTGATTTCATCAACTTATTGACTCAAAGGCAGTGACTCAAACCAAGCATGCTTGTATGACAGTGGAGAGGAAAAACTCCCTTTTAACAGGAAGAAACCTTCAGCGACATAAGGAAAAATCCTATCTCTGCTATAAGATGGAGCTTAGTCATTTTAAGGCTTTATATGTGAGAACGAGGATTTTAAATTCTATTCTGGATTTAACAGGAAGCCATTGAGGAGAAGTTAAAATAGGAGAGATATTATCTCTTTAGTTTTCATCAGAACTCTGGCTGCAGCATCTTCAGCTGAAGGCTTTTAACTACAGTTTGTGGACTTCCTGATTGTAAAGAATTACAATAGTTCAGCCTTGAAGTAACATATGCATGGACTAGTTTCTCAGGATCACTTCCCAGAATTTTATAACATTTTAATGATTATAGGAAAACGTGTATCTCAATAAGACTTTGTATAGACTAGACCCATGAACATAGGAAGTATTTTGAGGGATTTACAATTTGCCCTTGTTCAAATCCAGGGTTGTGTGAACTACAGTATGGCTTTGTCACCAGCCAATGTAATTTTCTATACATGGTGTTACACAGTTGTGTGTTTAAAGCGTGCTTTCAAAGGTTTCTTTCTCCAAAATAATGGAGGTGGATTTATTTTTTTTCGTAAGTGTGAAATGATACCTGACGTACCTCACCAGCAACGCCGGACATGCTCTCATAGTTACCCGCACATCTGGATAAGCTGTTCTGTGGTGTGGTGAATTCAAACACCTTTTTGTCTCCTCTTGATTAACAGCACACACCCTGTCAAAGTGACACCTTTTTAAATAGGGATAACTTTCATTTTTATTGCTTTCTCAAAAATGTTGGTCACTTTTTGGGCCACTAAATGAGAGCGAGACTTACAATTATCATTGGCGTTTGAGCTAAACCAGCTTTTCTGCTTAAAGCTACATGCCGTTTCTGCACGCCCTAAAGATCAAACGTGTCAGCACCCCACCTTTATTAACATAGCTCCACCAGTTTAAACACAGGTGTTACTACAAGATGCTCGTGTCTTTGAAAGATCAAATATATTTTTTCTTGTGTTGGTGTTTTAAAACAAGTGCTGCTTCTAAGCATGGCTCTATCTTTTTGTCAGGGGTTAATGTTAAAGCGGAGGGTACTTTACATCCAGCCCAGCCGACTGCAGCTCGGGCTTTTAACCATGGCCTGACAACCTCAGTGGACCACCACAATATCTGTTGATGTTAATCCTATTAGGCTTGATTTAACACTTTACACGCCCATGATTTATATGAATGTTTATTGGTTTTCTGTAATATAATCAGCTCAGGGAAACTTAATGCATTGTTTGGTAATACATGCATGACTGGAAGAAGGGGCACACAGGCCTGAAAAAAAAACCCTGTGCCCGGTGTTATTTGAAATCATACACCTTCGTCCAACACCAACACTTGAACTAATTCAATCTTCAAAGTCAATGGAAAAAGAACAATATTTATTAGGATTAGGAGGGACATTTTGTCTGGCAGCCTCCTCCAAAATGAAAGCCTTGGTTTTTACTTTGTTGATCGTTTGAGGGTTTAAGATGCATTAGTAGACAGTTTCTGGGTGGATAATGGAAGGTTAAAGACTGTTATTTAATTTAAGTTCAGACACTAAAGATTAATACCTCCATGCTATGTGAGGCTCCTCATTTCCCACCCTCTACCCCAATGCTTCAGAAAAAAATGATGCCACTACAGTTACATGGTAATAAGTTGATTGTAATGTATTAAGTACCGCTTTGGATCAGTGGCACACGTTAAGCCTCAATATATCAACCGTCAATAATAAATAAAATAAAATTTCTTTTACTATGTATTCACTGGCATTCTACTTGTTTCTCAGTCACCCAGCTGCAGCAAACCCTGGTCCATATCCAGGAGCTCCTGGTCCAGCAGCAGCAGAAGATTCAAGAACTGTCACAAGAACTGTCTACAGCAGAGGTACAGTAGCCAAATGTTTTGGTTGTTTAACCTTAATAAGTCACTCAAGCACAGCCAGTCAACCGAGAAGCACGAAATACATCCCTTCCACTTTTGTAAATATTTTATTGCATCTTTTCATGTGTCAACACTAAGGATATGATGTCATATATGATGTCATTGACCACAGCATGTGTAACAGTTCTCATTTGCCATCCCCTCTAAAAAACAACAAACAGCTGTTTATGTATTCCAATCATGTGACATCAAAGTTAGTACACCCCCAAGAGGAAATAGCTAAATTGCGTCAATTTGTTATGTAGAGCAACATTTTTCTATTTCAGACACTACAATTGTTGAACTTCAAATGACCAATATAGGAGTGCATGAGTGTGATAAGACCAACTTTATCTCACCTGCTCCGTGTTCAAAACGTAGAACTTGAAAAAAATGAGTCACATGACCCTAGAAAAGGAGAATGGCTATTTTCGCACATTTTGGACATTTTCACCCAGGGTTATACTTATTTTGCTACCTGGGGTTAATTCTTTGACAGATGTGTGTTGAGTAATTTTACATTTCCAATTTTACACAATCTATAGATTGAAACATTGTTTCAAAGTCTTATAACTTTATTGGTAATTCATAATAAGATAGCTAAAAAAGGAATAGTATAATATAATGGTCACTGCACTTTTGTGTGGTGTTGTTTATTTGAAAGAAAAACGTGAGAACAAGAAATGACTAATGGAAAACCAAACTCTGAAATTGGTGAGAAGGAGAGTTGTCACGCACAGCAAAAGTATTTTCAACCTTCAGCTTTTTGTTGTTCTGTTCTGTGACCCAATATCTAATTCCAGGGTCACAAATGTTTTAGCTAATAAGCTCTTATTTAGTGTTTGTGGAGAAATTGGTTCTTTCCATTTGTGCTAAGAGTGCTGTTGCTTTCTTTTTTTGTGCTTTCCATAGGGACCACGCATTTCAACTATTTTTATTTTTTGCATATTATGCTCAGACAGACCCCATGCTACATACTTTATAGGAGTTCATTTTGTGCATTTGTTCAAAAAAAACAACAACTAGTTTTTAGATTTATGAGCTATAGAAAGCAATTTAAAGGCTAATTGTTATTTATTAATGTTTAAAATCTTAAAGATTTTAGGTTTTCTTGGTTTCAAATATGTCATTTGACCTTTAATGGTACTTTTTCCTTTACATCCAGCCTTCTAGTACACTTAGTATGTATCAAACCTCATAATTTAACTGAGAAAAATCCGTGACATTACACTATTTACAAAAAAAAAGCTTTCTTGTGGCCAAAATCACCCTTTAGATTGCCTATTTTATGATATATGCCTTTTTATGAAAGCTGGGCCAGCATTAGATTTAAGACTCCTGAGGAGCTCGGTAAACATAAAACTGCAAGTTAAAAACTTAGAAAGATGATGAGAGAGACCAGCTGTCTATTTGCCTCTTTGTCTTAAAAATCCTTTATTCTCTTCAAGTCATAACTACCCAAAACAGACAGGCTTATTGTGCTGTATATCATCAGGAAAGAGGTAACAAAAATAAGGTACATCTCATCATGAAACCATAATCTTTAACCATACTGCCTTGATTTTTATAGGCCTTTCTCTATAATCTACTCAGGATATGAAGTGTTTTAGTGAATCCAACGTAGTGATTGTTTTTAAAATCCATATACAGGGATGAAATGTTGCTAGAGTTTTATACCACCTCTCATAAATCACTTTATGATCCAAAGGTCTCTAAAAGGGGCCTCGAAAGCGACAGTCTTTGACAATGTTTTATCCCCACTCCTTGTTAAGCACATGGGTCCATGAGTGTAGCATCTGGATAACGCAGAAAAACATATGTGGACACATCTGCTTCGGCACAAATGAATAAAAAAAGTATACATATCTCTTCCCTGGAAGAGGTTCATGAAGTGTGCTATTATTTTCTTTTATTTAAGCTTCTAAACCACTCTGTATCACTGCGTGTTGTAGAAAACAGCGATGATCTGATTTGACCCCATGCTGTTCAGTGTTGATGGTAATTCCTCAGCCAGACAAAAGGTCCAATTTAAACAATGAGTTTCCTCCGGCAGAAACAACAACTGTGGTTCTTTCTTCTTTTCATTTGTCATCCCTAAATCACAGATTGGATTAAAAAGTCTACTTCATTTACTATGAGTGCCCTGTTGGACAGAAGTGGTGTATAAAAAGTATATTTCCCATCAAAACACCCATTAAACAAATCATAAACCCTGCTTTATAGTCATAGTGTTGATCTTAAATTTTCCTCGCGAGCCGGCGCAAGGCCCTCTGTTGTCTCAAGCCATGAGGGAAATTGGGAAATTGTTTTCAGGTCGACAATGTTTGATGAGAAACACATGTTGGAGCTGGGGAGCTACTTATCATTCACTGTTTGTGGCTTTCAGGGCTTCGCTCCACTGTGCTGCTTAAAGTGCGCCACGCTTGGCAATTATACCTCTCAACACGGAAATGTGCCTTTAACCCAAAACACATGGAGACTTCTGTTTCCTCAGCTGCTAAGTAAACACTTCTCATAGCTTGAAACCACTCTCTTGCGGTGTAGGTCTGCTGTCCTCAAAGCGGGGGACGTCATTATAGAAGGGAGTTTAGACAGACGGACGCGTGTCCACACACACACCCACCCAGAGGACGGAGGCTTATACAGCACATTTCCAGACTGGCCTGTTTTCTTACTTAGGATTCTGTGAGGACATGCTGCTGTACAGATGCCAAACATACTAGTATCACCTCTGGTAAATATGCGTTAAAACCCCTAAAATAAATACATCTTTTGCTGAGGCAGCATACGGCCACAGTGAAATATTTCATAACATCCAACCTCTAATTTAAGTATATTAATCCTTTTGGTAAGGAAACCTGATGTCAAGCAATAACTGTTGCTGCAAACTGCCTAATTATTGGCATAATCGTTTTAAAATTAATTTTTCCCAATATATATATATTTTTTTCTAATTATAGGATACATTTTTAAGTTAATCAGAGACTATAATGATTTCCCTTTTTCCATTGGTTTATAAGGCTGCACCAAACCTTTTAAACTCTAAACCACGAGTTTTCTGGACCCTGGAACTTTAACCTAAACAAAAATAAGCCAAACTTTTTTTTTAATGGATGTTTACTGTACTATAAAATTTCCAATAAAATAATTTAATGAGGCCCCAATTTTCAGCGATCGTTTAGCAGAGGCATGGGACTGTCTGGACTCAGGTCATTAGTCCATCACAGGACATACTGCTTCAATGGAATAATAATTCATTTTAGGATCTTTCACACATCCGTTTAACACATTTTTCAATCTCTGTACACCACGTAAGTGTTGCAGATAGATTTGCCTCCCAAAAATCCATCTCTGATGTTTCACAGGCAAGTCCATTTCTACCCCATTATCGTTACAAATCTCCGTACTAACTGTGTTTGCCCTGCTGTCTCAACTTGCTGATCGTTCTCTTTATTAGTGGATACTACACAGAAGATTAGAAAACGCCTCCTTGCTTACACAAGATAAAGTGCCAGTAGGAAAAAGCATAAATAGAGTGAAATCAATTGCACTGTACCAGTGTTTCCTCTCAAAAACACTCCTCTGGGGAACTCCATATGAAACTAATTCCATCATAAATATACATGCGTTACAAAAAAAAACCACACTGTCTGCCAGTGAAACAACTGTGAATTAATTTGCCTTCAGAGTCTCTTAAACGAGGCTTGTTAAAGATCTTATCTTGCTGCTAATAGTCCAAAGGCATTTATCTTCATTTAGCCAGATGTGCTGCCATTCTTGGATGCTGCTGGAGTTGGTTTATTTTTGGGGGATTCTTTCCTCTCTATTTTCATAGAAAACATGTTTCTCGCACTCCCCCCGAAGCACTTAGTTAAACAGTAAAAAGAGGCTGACCCCTATCTCAACCAGGCACCCACCCGAGACGTATTAGTTACAAGGCTTTTAAACCAGTACGCAGGGAGTCTTGCTGTGAGCAGTATTTACTCAGTAAAAACACACAGCCTGGCTGCACGTTGGTGGTTGATGATTTAATGGCCTGTTTCTCTCTCATAGTATGTGGGTATTCTTTGTTTTTTGGGGGGAAGGTTGACTCATTTGTTTTGCAGTTGTTTGTTCATGCATAATACTTTTTACAAAATGCTGAGGCGTCTATGTTCTCCAGCCGTTAGCAATAGCACTGTATGTTTATTTAAAACAAAATATACAACGATCAGAAAGAAAGAATCAATACAATTTTCTATTTATTTAGTGTGAGCAACACAAAAACTTTGATACAAAATGGATAATTGTTAAATTTTATAGGGAACATGCTAAATTTTAAAACTTGTCCATGAGAGGCTTTTTTTATTTTAAATGAGGGGAAATTAAAGCTACAGTGTGTAATAATTACAGGGATATACAGTCAGAAATGTAATATATTATACATAACTATGTTATTTATCATCATCTACGAGCTCAGCCTCTTAACCTTAATATTTACGTTGCCTTAGAATTCGTTATTTATAATGACATAGGAGCGGGTCTCGCAGCCATGGAGGCAGACATCTTTGCGCTACGGCAGCGCAGAGCCAACAAACTAGTGATTGCGAGATCGCCCATTACGCTCGAAAGTAACTACGGCAAGTTGAGAGAGATTAACTGAGACGGTACTGAACAATAGATGGCAGTATTAACATTATCTATGTAAACAAACCTCATCCCTTGAGAAGGTAGGTGATGCGGACGTCGTGGAAGACATTTTGTCCCGTAACGCTCGCCATACTGTTGGGGGGGAGAAGCGGTGGGGGGAGATGTTCATGTTGCTGCAGTCTGCAGTCTGACCGCTAGATGTTGCTAAAAATTACACACTGTAGCTTTAATAGAAAAAATATTTCTATTTTAAAGGAATATTTATTGCATTTCTGATTTCTGATATTTTTGGGTCCTATTTTGTTTCCGTTGCAGCTTGAAAGGAAACAGTCACTTAATAACTTGAAATGAAAAGCAATGCAGTAGATTCGGTTTATGATTTAATGCAAGGTGGTAAAAGTATGTTGCTTTGCTTTTACAGTGGTCCTTCATTCTGAGCTAACGTGAGAGTGGGAAAAAAGAAAGAAGTCTATTTTAGCAGGACTAATCTTTCAGCAAAATAAAGTTAAAAATTTGTGACTATGTGAAACAAAGCTGGAGCTTAATAGGACGAGAGATGATTGAAGTGGGAGCCAGGAGTCCTTTCTGTAAAAAAATAATGAGAGTACCGGGTTAATAGTGCCAAGGGTCTACTTCTAAAAAAAAAAAAGGAAGAAAGTAGACACATAGTTAACAACAACAAGAGCTCTGTCCAGGAAAAAAGACCCAGCTAAGCATAAGATGCCAGGAGTACTTTCTATGGTAAATAAAAATGAGGAATGTACTCAGAGGCAATGGGAAAGACACCTCTGCCAATGCAGTTATCCAAGAAAGAAACTGCTTAATGAAGAACCACCCTAAAAATATGCTATCCATGTACAAGAAACTGAAGTATTTAACAATCTATATATAAAAATATATAACTAACATGTTATATGCATATAAAATTTTTCCACAATGCAACATTACAGGTTTCACAAGTAGAAAACTGAAGTTTCTGAGCAAAGGTTACAGGTCAGAGTGCTAATAAATAAAATCAGGAAAACAGATGACTTTAATCCACCATAAAAAACGGATATTTTCAATAAAGTTAGAATTTCTTATAGATTATGAGTTTCTCTCCTCAGAAGCATTTTTAAAAGGTGCTCTACATTCTAACTGCAGTAGAGTATAAACATTTCGCTCAGTTGTTTGGTAAACGTTTCAACCTTCAACCTTCACTTAGTGGCCCTGCTGGATGCTCATCAACACTTAAGGTGAGCCTTTTACATTCTTAACTCTTCCGCAGTCATTGATACTCAAGCTCTCAGCATTCACCCAAGCACCCTGTGCACTTAGCACATGATCCTCGTACAATGTGTTTGTATCCATACTGACATAATGTATCTCAGAGCTGAAATCCAGTCCTGGCCCAACATTTAATTAGGTTTCTTCAGACTTAATAAGACATATGTCAGAGTTAGTGTTGTGTGACAAGCCTTGATGTGAGATATTATATGGTGCTGCTCAGTGGATATTGCACATTATAAATGTAGATGGCGGTTATCACGTCTGCTTAAAAACTTTCTTTCCAGTGGTAGACGGTATAAATATATAGATATTGAAAATTTTATTTCTTTTTAGAAATCAAAGTACTTCTCTGCCTTGGCCTTTTTTTCCTCCCTCTTTTTTTAAAGCTATTAATCTGTTTAAAGGGAAAATGAGGGAGAAGCAGAATTGAGCCTTATTATATGGGTGCCGTGGGGAGGCAAGGGATTAAGATGGTTCTAATGAGGTGACGGCTGTAATAAGAGTGTCTTTAGCAAGCCTCCATGCACCACCTCTAAAATATGGCTCCTTATCGGAGAGGTTTAGGAGCCGATAAGACCCCCCCACCAAAAGAAAAAAAAAAGAGAGAAACTCCTATCATTCGTCTTCTCTCCTTTGCCTCCCTCTATCCGCTGTAAATGAGTCTGATCCCTTTCAGATGTGATTCAATTAATTTCTCTTAGATTTAATTACAAGCGAAAGAGTCCAAGTTATCCCACTCCCCTCGATAGGGGGTCCACGCTTCCTAACAAGCTTCCTCTGGTGAGTCAGGAGTGTCTTAATTACAGCTTTTACTTTTCTTTTATCCCAGTTTTTCCCTCGTCTACTTCTAATCCCTTCTGGTCTTGTCGTCCTATCGACTAGCTCGGTTATGTATTTGTGCTTTTTGTTTTAGGCGAGTAGGCAAGCAGTTAAAAGCAATTTGCCATCTTGGTCAGGTAACATCTGCTCACTGCAATCCATTCATAGGGTGAGGGTTGTTTTTGGGATGTTTTATTGGAAGAATCTTTCTTACTGCTGAATAAGCTTTCAGAAAAAAGTTCACAAGGTTTAGGCTAATTGGGTAAAGCAACACCTGGTGCCCGCCCACCAAAAATTTGGTTTTAGCCAATCATGGTAACAAATGAAATGGCAGCAGACGCCATGCAAAACCGAGACGACCTTTTTAAAAGATGAAATGCTTAATCCTGATAAAACTGATGTGATAAAAGCAACTATATGTACATACTGCTTTGCTGCAGCCTCTATTTTGGGTGGGCTCTGCACTTGGCAGCTCTTGCTTTTCGTCACAAATATCCTTTAACCATAATACTGCTGTATGTTTGGCCGACCCATTTTGATTCACTGTTATTTAAAATTCCTTTACTGTATTTATACAGGAACTTTAATATCAGTTTTCATATAAGACTAGAGGCAATATCATACTGTGTGTGAGAGAGTCAGCCAATGTTATATAGCTTTGTTGTTATGGCAAGGCAAAGGAATTGCAGAGGACATATTAAGAGGTGCTTAGCATGTTTTGTTCATAATCAATTCGATTAGCACAGTTAGCATTGCTAACAAAAGCGCATATGCTTATTTCTTCTCGGGGGTTTTTATGATTAGGCCAGAGATGTGCTTATAACTATAACTATTGCTCTTATTTTGCACAAACTACAAGCTAGCTGTCTTGCATAAGTAAATACAGTAATGGATTTAAGATTTGTGTAACTGGCTGTCAATGCATCATGTTGAAGAGACTCTACCTACTTTTAAACTCTACCCTGTTTTGGTTTTTGTCATAGTTTCTGGGGATTTTTGTTTCAATAAATATAAGACAACAAATGTATCAAAAATATATCATTAGTCTGGTATGTTGTAAAAGTTTTGTACATTTATCCCCTTTTCTCCTTAGGCTTTTATGAAAATTAAAATTTTGTTGCCTCTTCTTTTGAGAACCTTTAGGCCATTCCTTACCTAAAAAGAAAGTTCAGCATCAGATTTTCACCTGTAATTTGCCATTCAAATACCTTTTCATAATACCCTGTAGCATTTCATGCTACACAAATGTATTCCTCTGTGCGTGATAACTCAAAGCTTTGATAAAAGGCAAAAAGAACAAAACACACGGCAGTGCTTTTGCCTGTCTTCATAAATGTGCCCATTGTTCCCCCCTTCATTGTCATTATCCAAAACACTGCACACTGACCTAATCTTTTCTGGGTAATATGGAAAAATATGTAAAAACAGCCCGATTCACCCTCACAGGACTTCCTGACTTCAGAAAGGTGGCTGAAGTGGGTATGCTTGTCATCCCCAACAGAAAGCTGTTGCTAAGTTGACTCATGGCTTGACTGCAGGAAAACGTGTGGCTTTTAGCATTTGCATTTGCCATATTTGTTTACTTGCACCATCCTTTCACTAAATACGTTTTAAATATTTCATGTGGTTGAACTGTTAAAGGGCCTGCAGCGAAGGGACTTTGTTCCGTGACCGTACATGTGACCTGAACGGAACGTGTGTGTTTCTGTGTCACTGACAGTTGTGTCTGTGTCTCTCTGGGGTTTGTCCAACAGACATCATCCTCAACCAACCGCATCCTGGACAGCCAAACAGTTGGAGAGCTGAAGGCTGAGATTGCCTCTTTGAAGGGCTTACTGCTCAGCAGGTAACAAAGTTATCCAGACCTCTGTCACATGAAACAGCCTTCAGGTGTGTGGGAAAGGTTGTGTGTGTGGGTGAGTGTGTGTGATGGTGTGTACCTGTCTAGCCGTCAGAGTGAGGACCATTTTTCCAATTTCACCATCACACTGAGGACCAGTTGTTGCAAAGTGAGGACATTTTTTTGTTCCTCACAAGCTATTTTGCTAACGGTTAGGTTTAGGGCTAAGGTGTCAATTGGGTTTAAGTTAGGGTGATGTATGCATTGGTATTGGTTAGCTTTAGGGTTACTTTTAGGGTTAGGGCATAGAAAGGGTTGAAAATGACCGAAAGTCACAACATGGTCCTCACTACATATAGCAGAACAAGTGTGGGTGTGTGTGTGTGTGTGTGTGTTTTGGAAGAGTCAGGACTCTTAGCTTGTGGCCTTTTTGATTTCTGTAATGCAGTCCATTTGAACTGTGTGCCAGTGACGCAAGAGCAAAGTACCATTTCCTTGATAAAATAAATTTATAGTTTCCACATAAATACACACTTTAACATCATTGCATGTTTCCTAAGCTTCCAAAAAGTTAAGGAATCCTTATTATGTAATGAGAAAATATAAACACTTTATATACTTATGGAGATCATTTGCTGGACTCATGTGTACTTGCATGTTAAGCTTTCCTGAATATCTCATATTTTCACTCAAAGTTTAAAAGTTTTAAGGAAAACACATTATTATTCTTTTACCGGTACTTCTTTGGGTAAAATTGTGGTTAAAGGTTTGTGGTTAAAGTATTCACAGTGTACTTTTGCTGCCATATGGAATTGTATTCCTCATTAGCTACATTATGAGGTACTTGCTATTTATGGCTAGTATCTATTTTTAAATGAAGAATGTCCAAATTCTTCATCACATAAGTTCCACAAGGTATTAGAAACGTTTCTTAGGTATTTTGGTCCATATTGACCAGATTGCATCAAATTTTCTGGAGATTTGTTTACTTTGGATCTTTCACACGAAATTCATGTTTGGTCTGCTTTAAACGTAACACTGTTTGTTCTCCACCTTGAACCTTTATTGCAGGTGTGAATAAACTTCAATGAACCCTGGTCTAAATGTAACAACTGGACCAATTGCAGGTTACTTAACTTTGGTCAAATTATGTTTAACAAGAGATATACGCTAATTGTGTTTTAATTTAGAGGTAATGCTTTTAGGAATTAATCTTCAGAAGGTTACCATGTCTTAAAACTTGTGCAGACATGTTTGTACATACAGAGCAGATCTTAAAAGAAAGTGGAAAGCCTTTTGGGTTTTCAAAGCAACAAACCTCTTTTTTTTTGCAAACATCTTTTTGCGCATGTTCCTTCATCAATATGCATATCATATTCTGATCAACAAACTTTGCAAATTCATGGGTGGAGGACATGCAAATGTAAACATTTACCATGTGTAAAGCGATTTTCCGAATCAGAAACTCAAATACAGCAGCAGTTTTTAAGTTCCTCTGAAAGTTGGGTGTCAACTGAAAAAAAAATATCTGCGGTCATTGTGGCCACAAATAACAATAGAAATAACTATAGTAAAGTACAAGCACTGGGCACAAAACATAAAAAAGAACGGAATTTAAATATGACATGCTTATGAAAACACCAAAAAGTCGGCAAAGAGAAGTGCGGTCAGGCTGAACTCCTTAAAATGTGCCTATCTTAATCAGAATCTCCTCAATATTTTTTACTCGATAAAATGAAATATAATGTGAATAAAGCAGTGGGGGAGTCAACAGACAAAAACAACTTAAATATTTCAGAACACTCATGATTTAGAAAAGTCATTTATATTTAACTTAAGTGATTTTCATAATTTTTTACGTTTTTTTTTCATATTATTTAGAGATGGATTAGTTCTCTTAAGTGTTATGTGAATATTATTTAGTATTATAATAATTAGTTTTTAAATAACATATTATTGTGTCTAGCTGCATGACTTGGAACCTCTTCTTTCTTCAAGGTATATACTAAACTGTTAGTAGAACATGCAATCTGCACATTTTAATGGGCAAAACTAAACTGGTTTGTACGTTTGAACATTTGCGCAGCAATCTTTGTGGATCATTTGCAAAATATCCACTTAATGCCTAAGCAATATGTGGAACCAATAAGACCTGGCCCTTAAGGTGGGTATGTCAACATGAAGAGGTGAAGACAAGATTGGAGCTAGTTCACAGATCCATGCATGCAAGTGGAGGAAAGTTACGGTAAAGACATTTTGTAAGACATTTTGAATTGAGAAAGCTTTCTAGATGAGAAGCAAAACATCTTCAAACTTGGAAAAGAAAGTCCAGTGGTTAGTTTTTAACTTTTTTTTTAATACAGTAAAGAAAATTATAGCAAAGCCCTGCAACAACGGACTCTTCAATAGAAAGGGTAATGAATGAAATTAAACCCTGGAGTTTCAACAGTTACAGGCTTTTGGTTAGTGCAATGAAAAAATCAAAATAAAATCGCAATATTGGTTGAAAAGGATTGCAATTTAGATTTTTTTGAAAAACTTGATCAGCCCTAGTCTCGGTTCACCACTAAACACACTGTGGTTCACTTCTGATGTGAATATGAGCTATTATGATCCTTCCAAACTACAGGACACATGAATTGCAAGGATTATTTGGGCCACTATTGTATGCCACATATGATATTGCTTAAATATCTACTCCCATTTTTTATTTTCTCACTAAACTACTCACTTTTTGATCAGCGCCTCAAAGTAGAAAATACAAAGTAGGGCTGGGTGATGTGACTTAAAAGAATCTACTCCCCAATTGTTTTATTTAATTTTTTTCTCACTAAATGACATGTATTGCTAAAAAAAAAAAAAAAAAAAAGAACTTTGATTTTAGTCATCCTCTCTGGTAGGTGACCTTCATTTAAAGAGCAACAAAATTCACGCTGTGAAACATGCTTGTAGAATAATCACATTTCATAACAAACATTGCAATATAACACTAAGTGTTGGTCTCACACCGAGAGTCTTTCTATTGGCTTTGAATAGATATCTAGCAACAAAAAGTGATAAACTGATGTCACTCTAAGCAATGGACAGAAAATTATAACAGAAAAATTATGATTTTACAAAAATAAGTTCAAAAAACCCAAAAAAAAATGTATTTATATTTTTTGAATATAATTAATACGTTCTAAAAAGTGGGATGTGTGTTAAACCTTACAAGTCAGAAAAAGGCCTACAGGTCCCAAACAAAACAAAAAAAAAGTTATTTATGCTTTTTTTTTTTTTTTTTCCATTAGACTACTGTAAATAAAGTAAGCTCCTGTCATCAGATTGGAACCAACCAAGCAGTTCTTTTTCTGTCTCGTAATTCAATGCTGGTATAAAAGCGAAGGTGTTCTCAGAATAGCTTGTAAGGACTACTAAATTCAACCTTGTAAAATTGCTGTGGAAAACGTAAAAATGGAGCATGAATGTGCTTGTTTAAATACTGTACATACTGAACGCTCAATTGCCTTTAAATCAGAGAAAAGCAGTGCATGTCTAAAACCTGTTAAGGTATGTATGTAATGGCTGCAGGGCTGAGGCTAACGAAAGAGATGCCATGAACAGAACAGCCGTCAGGCGTACTAAACTCTAATGTAGTGGTTCTGATTATGCACTGCACATTTTCCACAAAAACAGAAAACAGCAAAGCACATATTCTCACGGCTGCAAAGTTGATTAAATCTTTTTTTTATTATTTAACAACTTGACTCATACGTAGTGTATCGTTCAGCTGAATCATCGGGGTTTTTCTGTTTGTTTTCTTTATGGACTGACATTAACAATAGAGAGTATGACTATATTTTTAAAAAGGAATGGAAAACTACCAATGTGATTAAAAAATAAAACTGTAAGTTGAAATTTCCTTTTTTTTTTTTTTTTTATAAAAAATGGATATTAATACCAGAGTCAATATTAATGTTATTGAAGTGATAATTATTTGCACTGTTTTCTTTAGCCTTCCTACATTTCTGCTCCTCCTAATCGGCTCAGTTGGGTCGATTAGCATGCATGATTATGCATCCGTGACCATAATGAGGCCTGAAGTAAGAATGTACATCAGAAAACCAGCAAGGACATAAATTGCTTAAGAACTGTCTGGTTGAGCATGTTTTGTTCCCCTCCTCTCTTAAATTTTAATCAGTAATAATCCTTTTGTCATTTGCTTTCCAAACATCATCCCGTCTCCGGCTGTAATTTTCATGACAAAGGCTTGAATCATAAAATAAATGCTCACCATCTGTCTCCAAACTTGTTACCTTTCTGTTCTACTGATCCAAATAGTCTCCAATCTGCAGCATCTTTTTGATCTTAAAAATTTCATTCTGGATAATTGGAGGGGGAAAAAAATCATCTTTGCCAGGTGTGGTTAACATCTAGCTATTACAAGAAAAAAAATACACTGTATTGTAATTATAAGTGTTTCAAAGGTATCCATACGCTTTGAGCTTTCCTATAGAAGTCATGTCATGATTGTCTTACAAAGAGAGCACATTGCCTAAAAAACATGTATTATTGTACAAATAATTAGATGTTTGCTCCGATTACCTTTTTGTGACACTTAAGGCAGACTTCCAGAACTGCAAAGCCTTTCAATTATGTGTCCACCAACTTTGCATATATTAAGACTGAAATCTTAACAAATTTTCTTCTCTAGATTGTCCAACTAGATGGACAGCATCTCTACATAGATTATTGCTTGAAATCAGATTTATACCATAACTGGGCCTTTCTAACACCTAGATGTGCTTGAGCAAAAGAAATCCTTCCATTCTAGATGTGTCTTCATATTGAGAGTTATCTTCATGAAAGCCAATCAACCAGACCTTTTCCTGCTGTAGAAAAGCATGAAACTTCCACCACTATTTCATTATTTGCAGTATTTCTACCACACATCACACCTTTCAAACGGAAGCCAAAGAGTTTGGTTTTGTCTCAGTGGATAAAATAATCAGTTAAAATATTCAGTTAAAATAACTCCAACTAGATGATGATTAATAATGATGATAACCTCTTAGAAAAACTGTTTCCAAATCAAAATGAGGTTTTAAATGAACTTGTCATTGATGCTAATGTGGTTGTTGTTGCTTGTTTTTTTTTATCAAACCAACAGGAGACAGTTTCCTTCCACTCCTGCTATTTCCAAGATCCCCTCGTGGCAGATTCCTCTGAAATCACCTTCAGCGACCGGCTTGCCATCCGTTAATCACACCAACAGCAGCAGCGACATCTCCCCCGTCAGTAACGAGTCTACTAACTCGTCCCCAGTCAAAGATGGACACCACATCCCCCAGGATGCGCTGGGAGGGCCAGATGGAGCCCACAATATTAACGGAGACACCTGCACTGCACCGCCATTAGACCAGGTCCGCATGGAAGTGCAGGGCGAGGAGGAAAAGAAGGACGAAGACGAAGAGGATGATGTTAGCCATGTAGAGGAGGAGGACGAGGTTCTGAGCATGCAGACGCAGGATCGACGAGGCGGAGATGGACAGATTAATGAACAGGTGGACAAACTTAGGCGGCCCGAGGGTGCCAGCAATGAGAGCGAGATTGATTAGCCGACAAGTAGGAAGCATAAAAAGGCTCCCTTCTCAAATTGCCTCATTTCTCTACATACCTCCCTGATCACACCTTTTGATTTCAAACCACCCTCTCCTTCCGTTTCTACTTCTTGTTGAATTCTGATGTTGAGAAAAACGAGGAGTAGGTGTGGATATTTAAAGGATTAACAGCTGACAGATATTGGAGGTGTTGGTGAATAAAAGATTGCCTACAATTTACTTTTGATCATACAAATCAAGCCGCATGCTATGCAGTCTTATGTAGATCTCTCTCCATGGGGGAGAAATACTAGAAGTAATGGAAAAATGACAACAGCTTTAAAAGGCGCCTGTTTAATACTAACCATGCCTGACTTCTAGCTTTTAATTTAAATGATATGATCCAATTATTACCAGCTTTACCCTAGCAGTCTTGTAACTGTACTGAATTAGACCAAAGCTGCCCATCCGTTGGTCAGGAAGCAGATGTTGCTTCAGTCTCAAAGTTACAGGGATCTTCCTGTGAGGCTTTAGCCGAGTCGCTCTTCTTGCTGATGGCAATAGGAGAGGACAAGCTCTTCCAGGCCTGAAGCTTTTAGCCTCTTTTATGTGTCCTTTTGCATCGGTGTCAGTCTGTCAATAATTCACAAGGCCAGCAGGGTGGCATTTGGGTGAAATAAAAGCCCTGAAATTTGAGATTAGAATGTGATGACGGGCTTTGTTCCATGCAGGTGTCAGAGTGCTCATATGCTCAGAGGAGGAAGGGTTGGGGGAAGATAAATGTCCCCCCCTCTCTCTCTCTGTCTCTGTGCTCTCCTTTTTCACCGAGGGCTGAATCCCGCATCTTTGCAAGCATTTGTTTGCACGCGAGTCAGACGAGAAAAAACCCAGACAGTCTGCAGGAGCTATATCCGCGTCTCCAGCAGGGCAGCTGATTTGGTTTGTGAAGTATGTTAATAATCAAATGATCAACAAATAACAGATGTATTAGTTCATGCAGCTTGAAATGTCAAGGAGGCTAAAAGCGGAAATCTAATACTGGAAGCCCAGTTGCATCGTATCATTTTCTGTGACAAACCCTGCGGTCCAAATTAGGTAGGGCCTCCCACGGTGAGTAATCTTTACAGAAAACGGCAACAATATTTTGTAATTAAGCTGCAGTAAGACAAAAGCGCTGCCACAGATGGAAGTTGCAGAACTGGTATTACTTTCTTTTTTCTCACTCTCTCTCCCTCTCTCTTGATGTGGAGGTGGATGAGGAAGTAAAAAAAATGCCCCATGATTGAAAAGGAAAGTAATAAATGAATACTTGAGTTATTGAATTACTCAATGTGTCTCAAGCTAACAAGAAGAGTCCATCACTGAGAGGAAGGGATGCCAGCCTTTCTGTCCCCGTCACGTGGAATCCTACGTGCAAAAATACAGCAGATGGTTTTATCCTGTAATTAAACACTGAATAGTATGTTTGCTGTAAAATCTTGAGTTTTTTGTATGGAGGGGAACCTTAAAAAAGTGTATAAAATTCATCAATAACTGTAATAAAAGTGGTCCACCACAAAAACAGTGGCTTATTCTTTTAAAAGCTGTAACAGCATACCAAGTTACTATTTTAGAGGTTAAAATCCAGAGAATTTGAAGAGTTTTTACACTTCTTTTTGAGTAAATCTGCGAGATATTTTTCTTAGTCAAAGAATATCATATATTTCTGCGTCCTAAAAATATTTCAGTTTTTATATTTAATGTAATTAATTATAGGACTTATATAATAAGGCAAGATTATTTTTTTCTCAATATTGCCCAGTATTTATATTGATCTATCCCCATCCACCCTGATGAGCCTCCCACTCCCAACAGGATGATGCTGCCACCACCGTGTTTTGTGGGTGAGGGTTTTTTTCAAGGTGATTTCCAGTGATGGTTTTGCTTCAAACATCATTTTTCTTTTACTCTAGAAAGTTCAATTTGGGTCTCATTGCCACAAAAATATTTATTTTCAAGATTCTCCCACCTTATCGGAGTGGACAAAAATTTTGTGGTGTCAGTAAGAAATATTTATTATATATTCAATCCAAACTTTTCAGGGATTTATAAAGAAAAAAAAAAGCTAACTTGTGCACTTTTTTGTCAATACCTTAGCAAGACTTTAGATTTCTGGTTTTAACTTATTAAAATGTTAAAAGGTTGAATACTTTTCCAAGATGCTGTAAAATGCTACAGATGAGAACAGCAGTCTGCTATATGTGTGTATTGATTGTAAAACCATGACTCATGTTTTACTGAGTGGTCTGAAACCATGACAAGCAGGGACTTCCACCATTTTCTCAGCTTTTTTCCCAGAAATGACTGAAACATTTTGAGATCAAATGCCTGAACCTTTAAAACTGTAGGTCGATCAACAGTGGTTACATCTTGCTCTATGTCACACAGATGAATGGATCACATCGGTTGCTCCCTTTAGGGAACGCCACAGCAGGTCATTACAACCTGCACTGGATGGCCTTCGCTATATCCAGGGTTTGAACCTTGCGTTTAAGACTCAACTTAGCCTGTTACACTGCAGATCGACTTCTTTCACACAAATATTACCTTAAAAAACTTTATTTTTCTTCTTTTTTCTTGGCTGTTGGATGTTGAGTTTACCCATTAATCAGTTCACCGACATAAATGCTGAGACCATATTTACCTACAGTATATTCAAGCATTTTGGATTCAGTTCCATACTGTCCAGTTTAATCATTCAAGAAATGTAAAAATGATTAGATGGGACTTTCCCAACATTTTTCATCAATGCAAAATCAAAAAAGGTCTGTGACGTTATCCAAAACCCATGTTATTAGAATCCAAAGATGTAGTCTGTGTTAGCTTAGTTTCCTTTTGAAGTGGAGATTCAGAAGTTTATTTATTTTTAAAGTAATATTCATGACTCCCTGGAGATGCAAAACGTTTCTAGATTAGGATTCCAGTGTGTATTAGTACAAAAGAGACTTGAACATAATCAGTCCGAATAATATGGTCATGATTCTTAAAATCAACGTTTTTTGTAACCATGTGGATGAGCACAGTAATAACCTCCAGGGCTTACTGAAACCAACACAGAATCACCAAGGGTGTGTAATCCAAGTTCCGTAAGAAAGACAGAGATTAGTTCCAATCATTTGCATTCCTAGCTCCACAGCATAATCCAAATACTGCAAACAGCTTCTGTTCCTACCTCCACTTCCTTCACCTTTTGCAGGGTCAACCATGATGCGTAGGAACGGCACTATGCTGAATCCAGACAGCTTTAGTCCTTACGGACATCATTACAGAATTGACCTGCACATGGATGATGCAAGTCAAATTAGAAACTACAGTCTTCAGGAAAAGTAGCTGTTGGCTACTTAAGTGTAAAATAAGTTACTAGCGTAGCAAACAGCCAAAGCTCTCCATTATAAAACTTGAAACATGGTGTGGATTTAGATTTTGTCAGACCTGCTGGCCTGATACCTCCATTAACACCAACCTTTGGGAAAGGATCCACAGACTTCCTTCTGCAGAAGAGGAGATGGGGTTTTGGTAGGGCATGCCCTAAGCAATCTAGTAACTTGTGTCATGCAGCAGGGTCTGAAAAGGAAACCCCAGAGAGCCCGGAAGAAGAGCTGGCAGCATGAACTTGAGGCTGACATCAACGAGACGGGCTACAGCTGAAGTCTGCTCAGAACAGACGACTGGAGAGCTGTTGTTGGTGGCCTGTACCATGGTTGGGGTACAGGACATCAAAGTACATGTTAAACTTTGGAAGGTAGGCTGTGCATGTAAGTTCTGTCACACAAAGGATTGTGGGACACCATATAGCTCCTAAATCAGAGATAGGAATATCTGGAAGTTCCTAATTTCAGTTGTACCCCCTACCTACTCCACGACCTGCCTTCCTGTCTGAAAACCAGGTTAAGAGGCAGATGGAAAGACTGCGCTTGATCAAGGCTGCAAGTTCTTGTGGTGTCAGCCACAAAGTCACGAAGGCTTGTGTGGACGTGTGATTTTTCATCACTATTAAACCTTTTCATCACTACTAAACCCACAACTAAACCCCTGACTTTGAAGAATGTTCCAGTGCTGTGGAAGACATCCTGCCTTGTTCAAACACCCAGGCGAGCTCATCAACAGCCTTAAACACTTTAGACCCGTTTCCCTAATGATCCTGGAGAGACCTCTGGCCCACCAAACTAAGAAAACAAGCTCACAACCTCATGCATTGCAGTTTATCTCCATAAGATTTGCATTATGTAAATTTAAGGTTAACTCTTTAGGATGATGACTTTAACTTCTACTCCACAAATTTTCTCTGTCTGGGTGAAAATTAAACTTTCCTGTGCCTGGCAAGCTATTGCCACGCATTGTCAAGTGTATGAATTTAATTTATCAAGGTCTGAATGATCAATAGCATTTCACATATTGATGAGGTGTATAAACTTCTCGAAGGTTCGATACCACATCCCTTTGTAATCCATTAACCTCTCCCTGGAGTTCCGGCCAACCTTAGATTTATAGGGACCTACTGTAATAAATCCACTTCTACATCATTTAGCGTCTTGGGGGATTTGCAGTGCATTCCTGTCTACAAAGCATCATTTACCCCGGCTTCATATTCTCAACAGCATTATGAAGCGACCCAACAACACCCACCACAGTAGCATACCCTGTGTGCTTTTGAATTTGCTTTCCTGTGCCAGTGACTCTCAGCCTGGTGTTGTAGAGAGGAGCTGTTTATCCAAAGCAACACCTTGGTTTTGACACCATTTGACTCCCCAGCTGGGAGCCTTAACCTCATCAATCTTGCTGCTAAACGGAGGGCACTCAATAGGATGGCGTATTGACACGGTCTGAACTCCATTGTTCGCTGGAACTGAGCACTCAGCAGGTTAGAGGCCTGATTGTCTCCTTGGATCAATGCAGGAGCTGTACGCCCATAGCAGGAGCAGTCAGAGGACAGCTGTGGCTCCGTCTGCACCTTCAACATCTCTTCTTCAGTTTGAACAAATCCTGGAGTCCTCAACTCATTACACTTGGATTTTTGTTTTTTGTTCCCCATCACCCTATATGGTGATATTAGCATAGCAGCAGAGGTCCGTTTCAAGTATCAGTCAAATCTGAACTCCCACATAGCTCAAACTGTCCTTTAATATGCTTGAGCAAAGTTGAAATGCAAGACAGGGAGGAGCTAACTGAGGATAAAATTCTATTTTTTTTTATCTTCTCTTTGAGATATGAAATGTTTTGTGAATTCAGTGGCGAGGGGAGGTCATTTTTACTTCTAACTATGCTTGTCAAGGCTTAAAAATACAGGGAAATTTAATCTACTACATGATTCTACTTTTAGGGGTTTAATTACCATAGTTCAAAAATAATAAATTTTCTCAATGGCACAATTCTGTTAACATTTTTTTTTTTTGGTTTACAGTGAATGAAAAAACAAAAGCAAAATTCTCTAAAATTGTGTGAAATAATTTTCACACAGATGTTATGATGTAGTTCAACGAATTCATCAACGAATGGAAGACTATCTAAAATGACAGTTTTACAGCAGACAGTACTCAGCAGTGACGCCCTCAGCAATGAGAATAACCTCATAAAGAAAAGGGGTATTTCCAGACAGATGTATTCAGTTGTAAAAAAAAAATTAAGTGGAAGAAAGAAACTGTTTAGGAAAATAATGCACAGTCAACAGAATCGTAGGATTGTGGAAAAAAAAAACTCAAGATGTTGGGAAAGATTTACAAGATTGTGAGAGTTAATTATTTTAGTGTTGTTTCTATATAAAGATGTGCTGTGATACTTTTATCCTGTTTGTCCCTGTTGGTAAATGGCTTTGGAGTATATCTTTCATTCAGTTTATTGATCACATCTTTTAAGATGATGAGTCTGTCAACCTGGCAACTATTATTTGGAAATTCTAAAAAAATTTTAAAAAGAATTGTTTTTTTATTTAAGGAAAGTCATAGTTCAACAAATGACACAATTAGTCCTGGTTTCAATTTCTGAAAAGAAATTGTGTGACTGTGAAATGTGTGACAACAGCACGCCATAGAGCAAACGATTCCCTCAGTGAAACATGGTAGTGGCAGCAACATGCTGTGGGCTGCTTTTAAGTTAACACAGACAATGAAGAAGCAGAGAGTAATAAGAATGATGTAGCTGAACACAGGACTTATGTTAAGCTTTTTTTCTCATATTAAATGACATAATCAAATGCCATTCACATTTATTCAGGTTACCTACTATTTGAAACTAGTTTGATGATCTGAAACATTTAGGAGACAAAAAGAAACATTTTGTCCTACACCGTATCTCAGATTTGCAGAGGAGATGCAGACATCTTGGAATGTTTCATCCAATTACCAAATTAAATTGCTTAAATTGGTATGGTTGGATTAAAATTCTTAATTTTAGCTGCTATTTCAGTTTTTTAACCCCGTATAAACCTCCATATTTCTTACAATAATAGTTTTTTTTAAACCCTGCATTGGGTTCCATTACCCTCAGCACTGTCCAGTGGCATTTGTGCACACAGATCCCCTCTAA